TCTTCACTCCTTGGTATTTTTTGGGGTGGTTCATCACTCTACAAATTACAAAAAAATGTTACATCCCGATTAATCAAAGTAAAGCAAACAAATTATTAAAATTATAAGCTTTAGTCACATTTTGAATTTTTTAATGCGATGACTTGAAGTTCTAAAATTTTTGTAATTATTTGCATAACAAAATCGATACCTATATATTCTTATGCTATCTATATTTATTATCTAAACAGGTGCATTAGGTAAATGTCTCTTACCTTCAAATATAGCAAATAAATACTCTAATTTCCATTTTTTGAGAAACTCCTTTAAACAATCCATATATCCTAAAATTTGTCCATAAAAAATGACAAATGCATGTTAATAATGATCACTAATATGTTATACGATATGCGTTTAAAAAGCAAATTATGCAAAATTCCAAGCAACAAAACCTGTGCGTACTATGATGTGCGACCTATGAAATGCGACGTACGACTGATCCAAAACCTGATCGGACTGCCGACTGATTGTATATACCGTCCTTCGTCATCGTCTTTGCGTGTCGTTCTTATTTTTCATCAAAAGAGTATTTAGCTATTGGAAAAATGGCCATGTTTCTTGAATGAAGTACTTCCTAGCGTATTTTTGTTATAAAACAAAGTAACTTGCACTTGGTTGATGAAAATAGATTCAAGAGAAATTTTCGAATTTTTCGAGAGAACCAGTTTTCTTGAGTTAAGAGAGTTTTTCTTCAGGCATGTAACGTTTTTAGTTCGTTACATGTCTTTGATTATGATATATGATGTCTGGGCACAACCCTGTTATGGTTTGGCACAACCCTGTTATTGCTCTGTGGGAGCGCGCGCTGTCAACATCGCTTCTGTCAATTCCCTGTGATCTAACTTCACTTTTGGTTAGACTGTTTGACCTGTCAGACGCCATTAGTCCCAGTTTTTGAGAAATGGTGATTATTTAAATCTTGCTGTGTAATCTGAATCAGCTGCCATTTCGAAGCTACAGGTAAAGCTGAGTTATTTTCCTTTTAGATTCGTTATTATTAGCGAATATTTTTAGGGTAGAGTTACGGATGGCCCAACTTGTATTTGTATTTGGCTGGCACGTTGGCGTCCCTTTGCTTTTGGCCTCCAGAATGTCATTTGGAAGAAAGGACAGATTATTTATTATTTATTGAGCCCTCGGAAGTACTTCGAGGTAGGTTCATTTTGTTTATTAGACGGTGTTTGATTTTAAACATGAGTTTCATGTTTTGAGGGTCTTACGGACGGACTATTTACAAGGTACAGGCATTATCCAAGGTCCTAGTATTCCCTTGTGCCACTGTCTTATGGACGGATGTCCCATGGACAAGTGTCCCCTGTAGGATTGATTTGTCTTCACATAGAGTGCCCCAGCGTGGGTGTGGCTTGAGTCCCGTGCTGCTTCACCCCCATTTCTAAGCCTGGATCGCCGACAGACAGTGCAGAGATGCAAGACCTCCTCGCGCTGCTACTGGTTGAAGCAGGGTTGCATTAAAGAACAGCTAAGTGTAATTTTAAGTTCTAGTATCGCATTTAACACCTAAAATGTTTTCAGTCTTAAACAGTAACGTACATTTAAACTATAGCGTACAGACTATATTTAGTGGTTAGATTATTAAGAATATTTATGTCAATGCAGTAGTAAAAGTGTGATTTAGATTTTAGATTTCATAATATCACGCATTGTAATGGTATTACTTTCTATAGACATCATTATTACGCTATACTAATAGATGAATGACGAGATAGATTCTAGAATCTACAGGTTGCAACACATCTGATTGAACACCGTATAAATTTAACAATTTAAATAAAGTAATGCTACTTTTCTTATATTTTCTCTAATGTTACACGCATTGTATTTTCCTTATAGTCTTTACATAGAACGTATTTAATATTATTTACATATATAGTTTTATTCAACAGGTAACCACTATAATAATTATTAAAATTGTACAATGCTATTCACCATCAGAATTCGTCACGAATAAATATAGTCATTAGTTTTAAGTATTATACAATTGTGTTTTCTTTCTCTGTACATGCCTGGCGCCCAATATCTATATATCTTTTGTTTATTATTATTGATTAATTTTCTCTCTAGTGAAATACCTTATCCACGACTGCTCTCCGATGAAAAGCTGCCGTTCGCAGTGGTAGTGGTTTAAAAAACGCTACAGGCAAAATATTTTCTTTTACGCTAAAATAAATTCTCTTGTCACCAAATTTTTTTGTCAAGAACGATGACGACTTTTTTTTCAGCACTTATGATCAAGAAAAATCTTTGATTTTTCTCGACAAACAACAAAAAAACAATAGAAAACCCTAAGAAATCTTAAGAGTTTCAGTAATAAGGCCAAAATAGACTCTAGGAGTAAGTGTGTCGTAATTATACCGGGTGCGTCTCAAAAATGGCTCACCACTATAACTTTTTTATTTTTACAGTTAAAAAGCGAGATTTGGTATGTTAGTATACCTATGACATAAATTAGGATTGATTGACGTATTCAATTGTTTTCGGTCACTTCCTGTTTCACGGGAAATTACTACAATTTTTGATCTTTCAATGGCATCCTGGGTATTTTTCTACTTTAGTTGATAGAAAATAACACTCTGAATAGAATGACATATCATATGTCAACTTTTGATATTTTCGCATATGGTTAATTTAAAATTATAACATGCGGTTCATAACGAAAATTTGACTCAAAATACCAAGTGTGTGGTATCAAACTATTCGTAAAAAAATGCTTTTTCCAAATACGCTAATGAATCACCCTCGTTCCGTTTAAAAATGGAGATATGATTAAAAATACGATTTGGGCATCTTTTAACCGGCCAGGATAAGACACTAAAAACATTAGACGATCAAATCTATTTTTCCAAGACTCCTTGATTAAGAATTAGTGGTTTTAAGATAGCCATAGCACACTAGATTGAAATTTAAAATACGATTTTTTTTAAAGCGAAAATGTCAAAAGTTGACATATATGTCATTCTATTCAGAATGTCATATTCTATCGAATAAAGTAAAAAAATACCGAGGGTGCCATTTAAAAATCAAAAGTAGTCATTTCCAGTGAAACAGGAAGTTACCAAAAACAACTGAATACGTCAATCAATCCTAATTTATGTCATATATTAACATACCAAAAAACTACTTTTATCTAAAAAATAAAAAAGTTATAGGGGTGAGCCGGTTATAGGAGACCCACCCGGTATATATAGCAAACAAGTTTTATGTTATCTACTACTGTCAAAAGTTACACACAGAACTTCTTTACCTATACCGGCAAAAAATTCTGTTTTACGTGTACACTTATAAACTGATCCGACATTTTCCTTTGGTTTGATGCAAATAAAAACAAACCAGAGAGTTTTTCGACAGAAAAAACGTAATCCCTCTAATTAAAAGTCGGTGTTCTCGCCCGATACGGCGACACTTTACACGCCCGATAACGCGCAACACCGAATCCGATTATCTGACGATTCATTACAAAAGAAATTAATAGTGAATTACTGTCGAACGAGAACGATAAGCCCCGAAATAAGATGGAACGAACTGAACTGGACCGCGGCAGCGCCTTGATAGATCGTCGATCTCTTATTTTATCTCAGTTTAAAAAAAAGAGAGTCAACAAACATCCTAAATTTATAAGCTTCAGACTAATAAAAAAATTGTGTGTGCCCTATGTGCGCATATATGAAGTGAAACTTTTTACTAACAGCTATTAGATTGAAGGATTTGAAGGACATGTTTGAGAAAGTGTAGTTTGAAATGTTGAAAAAATAATAACTTAAAAATTAATAAATAATTTAATACTCATTCACAAAATTTGTATTAAAATGTCTGTCTGTCTATTCGGGTACCTCTATCCACATGCCGAGTTTAGTTCTAATAGACCCATAATTAAGAGAAAAATCCTGATGATTTCGTCCATTTAGAGGCATCGGTTCAAAATGTCAAAAGCGTCATCCTCTAGCTCGTCCCCAATTATGTCGAAATCGAGGCACATTTTTCTTCAATATCAAATTCTTAGTCCCACCCTGATGAACATGTAAACGAAACATCGTATCCAACTTTGCGGGGTGACACCATGTGCACCGTCGCTCACATAGCCTACCTACCAAATTTGGTCGCGATCGGTCGACATCAACTTTTGACGTTTCTTACGTTAAAACTAACTGTCCCAGTAATACGTGTCGTACATGTTCAAGTTGGCCCTAGTCCAGTCTATCGACATACCAAATTTCATTTAAATCGGACAATTTTTTTGCCATTGATGATGGGATTTTATAGTGCACGAAACCACTTTTTCGATAGTTACCACTTTTCGTCTCGTTTAGCTGACTTTCGTTCTCACTTAGCTGACTACTAAGCAAAAATCGTTCCCAGTGGCCGATGAAACTTATTTTCGTTTAGTTACCGTTTGTTTTTATATTCTTAGCTTAGTTTAGTTTCGCTCGCAGTGGCCGCCTGCCTTTAAGGCGGGCGGCCACTACGAGCGAAGCAGGGACGTAGCAAGTCGAACCCGGGCCCTGGTGCAAGACCACCAGGGGGTCCTTTTCTTCATTATAAAAAAAACAATGAAAAATGAAATAACACATTTATTGCACAAAAATGTATGGGGAGTAGTAATAAATGTAGTAACAAAATAATAAAACTAAAAAACTATTACTCATTAACTAATTTATAGTTATTTATGCTGAAAAAAATCTACCTTTCTTGCCGTTTGATTGGCAAACAATAAAATTATTCTATTACGATCCAAGTTTCTGGCTGTCTCGTTTTCTATTGATAAAATTGCCAAGCCGGAGAGTCTGTTCTGCGACATTTTATTTCTTAAATAATTCTTAATTAATTTTAATACTGAACATGATCTTTCGGAAATCGCTACCGATACAGGAATTGTTAGAAAAAGGATAAAAGCACAGCAGATTTCTGTGAATGAACTGGAGATCATTTGATCGCAAATAACTAACTTCGCCAAGTCATTAACTGAAATGTCTGCATTTATCTGATCTTTGTAAACTCGCCTGAAACTTACAATTTCTTGCGAAAATGAATATGATAGATCATTGGAATAAAAGCTGATCAGGTTTTCAGATAGGAGGACCAAATCAGCATCAGAATGATCTCTCAAGACCGAAGGAAAAATTACTTTAAATCTTTCAACTACGCTATTTAACCCTTTGAATCGATTTTCAAGTTGAGATATAATAACGTCCAACGTTATATTAAACACCGACACACGGAAGTTTTCTTTAGCGTTGAATAATCGTTCATCACATGATAACTCATCCAATTGTTTTTTCACTTTGCGGATCCTGTGTTCTTTAAAACTTGGATTGATTCCCCAACCACGAGCTAAATCAGCTGCTTCATTAATAACTTCCTCAAAACTGTTCCTCATTTCTGCAATGTCTTTCTTAGCAGTTTCCAAAAGTTTTGACGCTCTTTGAATATCTTGATTTTTACTCTGCAGTGCATTGGACACAAGTTTTGTGATACTTAAGATTTTATGTTCCATCACTATCAATACAACTGTTTCAAAATTTTCCAGTTTTTTCTTTAATCCCAGTGCTTCATTTTGTTCCGTTGCTTTCGAGCTTGTTAGGGTTAGTTTTGTCAAAACTTGTAAAATTTCTCGATAGTGAAACCTTAAGCTATGAAGAGAATCATAACGAGACGACCATCGCGTTGGGCACAATCGTTTTAATGTGTGCTTCTTGGATTCGAACATTTCCGTCAATACTGCCCATCGTTTTATGCTATGTGCAAAAAATGCATAAAGACTTTCTACAAAATCGTAAAAATTTTGTAACTCCCTTGAAATTTTTACAGAGTCATTGATAACTAGGTTTAGATTATGTGCAGCACAGTGTACATATAACGCGTTGGGTTGTTTTTCCAAAATTTTGGCCTGCAGGCCATTGTAGACGCCACTCATGTTAGCCGCACCATCGTAGCCTTGAGCTCGTAGTCTTTCAAAGCTCAAATTATTATTTTCAAAGAATAATAATAATTGTTTCACCATGTCTTCAGCAGATTGCCCCATACATTCTTCAAACCCTAGAAAAACTTCCCTTATAACAACATCACGAATAATGTTTACATTGTCGTTATCCTTGATGAAGTCGGCATATCTCACTACAAAACTCACTTGATCAATTTTTGAAATATCTTGAGTTGTGTCCATTATTACTGAAAAAAATGGAGATTCATTTATTTGACTGATCAATTTAGTTTTACCTCATTGGCTAAAGAGGTTGATAATTTCGTTCTGAATGGTTGGCGACAAATATTTTACACATTTTTTATCTTTTGATAAAAGCTCTTTCAAAACTGGATCATAAATTGACAATAGCTCAATAATATTTAGAAAGTTGCCACGATTGTGATCGCCATCATATAACGATTCATTGTCTCCTCTGAATGATACATTATTTTTAGCCAAAGTCAATATGACGTTAATAACTCGTTCCAAAACTTTAATCCAATATTTAGTTTTAAATTTCAGCGTTTTATCCAAGTCCGTGTCCAATACTTGATCGCTTTTCCATTTGTTATATATCAGGCAAGCAGAAAGGTGATTGTTAGAAGATTCGTGCTTAGTCATACTCCGAGAAATATGACCCCAGTCATTAAATCCATTTACCCAATTTAATGATCCTTGAGTTCTGTCTCCAAAAACCCAGCAAGGTTCGCAGTAAGCTACATTCAATGTTGGTGAGCAACACAGCCAATTTCTTCTGTATACAATTCCTGACTTGGATCGTTGGTTGTAGTACGCCAAACTGAACGATCGACCTTTAGCATTTTTAGGAAATTGCATATTTTCTGGTTGACATGGTCCGTGTTTTGCTATAAATCTTTTATTCGAATCGCTGAGAATACTGCTGAAATTACTCTTTTCGGTACTGAGATGTGACACCGTTGTTTATGAAACAGATACAGATAGGGAAGTTGAAGAAATTGTGGTTGACTCATGGTTTTCTTCTTTTGCAATACTCATTGTAATTGACTTCGGTGATAGAGGTGTTCCGGGGTCATCCTTATCGTATTTATTTTCAGGTTCAGACAATTCAGATAATTCAACTGTATTTTTCTCAACACAAAAAAGGAAGTTAATTTAGGAAGTTTTTCCCTTTCACGTTTTTCAGTTTCTTTCCGTTTTCGCTTTTCAGCTCCCGACAAATGTTTGTATTGACTCATATCGCAGCTGAATGCAAAACTAGACAACTTAAAATTTAGTTATTTTATAGGGTGTCCCATAAGTCACCGATCAAATTTAAACAGGAGATAGGGGAGGTAATTTACAACAAAAAAAAACTATAAACATGTATCCTAAAATACCTGCTGTTTAAGATACAGGGTGTTGAAAGTGAAAAATGACAATTTTATTCAATGAAAAAACGGTACGCCACTGCTTTTTTTCCAAAATAAAAATTATTTTCGTAACCTCTTACTAGTTGCTGTCAAAAATGGTCTCTTGACATTTTTTTGTCCGACGAACGGTTTTTGTGCAAAGAAACAACAATAACCCTGTATCTTGAAAACCAGGCATTTTATAAGGATACATGTTTATAGCACTTTTTTTGTTGGAAATAACCTCCCCTATCTCCTATTTAAATTTGATCCATGACTTATCCATGACTTATCCATGACTTATCCATGACTTATCCTGATCCTGGACACCCTATTCATGACACCAATAATTTTTTTTGTCATTAGATAACTTTTTAACTTAAAAAGTTATCTAATGGCAATTTTCACATAGATTTTATTTTCTTGTAACAGATTAACTAAAAAACACACTACTTTTTAATTTAACGTATTGCGTCCATTTTTCAGACAAGAAATGGGTAAAAAGAACTTAGTTTTATACCAAGTACTACTTTTTTTTAATGTTTTCTCTTCTTTTCGTAAAAATGTGTTTTTTTTATTTTTTAGCCGTAACAAACAAATTGTCAGTTGTAAAGAATTTTAAAGTATTTTGAAAATAGCCACTAATAGTAGTATCATTATTAAACGTCCATCTAAACATTCCGCCGTTTCTATAAAATGACTAAAAATTAATTACCAAGTTACTACAGTCAGGTTTCAGGCTAACCCCTAATGTAATTACACTTAGACTTACACTAATAAATAATATTAAAAACTCACTTCAAAAAGTCAAAAAATATCAATATTACGATTTACCGCGAATCACACCGATATTTGACAGCGCAAGCGTGCGAAATAAAGATTGCACTGATGACGCGGCTTTTTTGTTCTCAAAGAAGAAACTAGGGATGTGACTCAATCGATTTAATAATAGCCATTATTAAAAGATCGCTCTTATAGTAATGTGGTCAAATACCTGAACAGCTAATTGTAATGTAATTTTATTTCATTTCTGCCGATATTCTGAAATAATGTTAAAAGTCAAATTTAGAATCGGGTTGCAAGAGCCAATGCCGCTAGGGCGGCGCCGGGCCCCTCCGGGCCTCGGGCCCTGGTGCGCCGCACCACTTGCACTCCCTGTTGCTACGTCCCTGGAGCGAAGCTAAACTAAGCCAAGCAAAAATAAGATTTGTAAAAATCAGCTCTCATACTTTTAAATGCACCAGCGGCCACTTGAGCGAAACTTAACGAAAATATATGAACGAAGATTCAAATCATAGTTTAGTTTCGCTCGTTTTAGTTCGTGACAGGTTCCAGCGAATTTTTCGCAGCGATTAGTTCTATGATAGCAGAGACATAATACGAAAACGTAGCTAACTTAGCTGACTACTAAGCAAAACTCGTTCCCAGTGACCGATAAAACTTATCTTAGTTTATTTACCATTTCTTTCATATTCATAGCTTAGTTTAGTTTCGCTCGCAGTAGCCGCCTGACGTTATTCAGGCAATACCTCGATTTTGCCTTCCATAATAAGTTGAAGTAGATAGAACCTATTTGCCGTTTTTTAAATATTTAGTTGGTCGCTGGTTTCTCTGTTTTGACGGTGATCAGTTACTCTTCTTGATTTTTCAACGTCTGTAAATTACTCTTTTTCTACAGAAGATATTCTCAAAAAGCGACAGTCTGCAACCTAACCACATTTCAAAAGCATCCAAACAGTATTTTCTGGCTACACAGTTCATCAATTTAGTTTGCACACTCAGACTATTTTTTTTTGTTTTATTTGTCATTAAATTATCAACCCTAATATTTTATTTTTAAAGCTCTTCTATTCGACGATTCAAAATTATTGTTAAGCTGGCATCATTAGTATTGGGGTCTCTGCTGACAATAGTTTTGCTTCCTTTTTCTAAAATATCCAACAAACATATAAATAACAAACAAAATATGTATAAGCTTCAGACTAATGAAATATTGTAAAATTGAGTAAACCAAGAAATTTTCACCCAGATTGTTTTTATGAAAACATTAAAATTTGTGTAGGCTATTAAAATTAAAACTACTGGTCAAATATGACCAAACTGCTATCGAAAGATGCGTACAACTTATCTTTAACTTTTCACTTAAATCAAAGATTTTTCTGGATTTAAGTGAAATGAATCTTCGGATTGTCACGGGGTTTTTAACAGAGGACACTGTCTTATCAATGAGCACCTCAGTAGATGGAAGATAAGAGATAAGAAACAACAGCGAATGAAAAGCATAAAGAAACGTACGAAAAGAACCAGCAACCAGCCTTATTCTAGTTATAAGCAGTGGCTTTACGATTTACGAGTAGAATAGTTCACACGTGAGTAATATACCGGGTAATACCTAATATACCTCAAAAATGGCTCACCCAAATAACTTTTTTATTTTTTTAGTTAAAAAAACGAGATTTGGTACCTATGTAAGTATATATAACATAAATTAGGATTTATTGACGTATTCAATTCTTTTCGGTCCGGAAGTGACTACAACTTTTGATTTTTAAATGACACCCCCGGTATTTTTTACTTTATTCGATAGAAAATGTCACTCTGAATAGAATGACATATCATATGTCAACTTTTGACATTTTCGCATATGGTTTATTTGAAATTATAACTTGCGGTTCGTAACAAAAATTTGACTTGACATACCAAGTGTGTGATATCAAATTATTCGTAAAAAATGCTTTTTCGAAATATGCTAATGAGCCTCGTCCCATTTGGAAAAATTGAGATATGATTAAAAATACGATTTGAGCATTTTCTAACTGGCCAGGACAAGACACTAAAAATATTAGACAATCAATCTATTTTCCCTTGATGAAGAATTAGTGTTTTTAACATAGTCATGGCGCTCTAGATTTAATTTTAAAATACAATTTTTTATTAAGCGAGAATGTCAAAAGTTGGCATATGATATGTCATTCTATTCAGAATGTCATTTTCTATCGAATAAAGTAAGAAAATACTGAGTGTGCCATTTAAAAATCAAAAGTTGTAGCCATTTCCGGTGAAACAGAAAGTGACCAAAAACAATCGAATACACCAATCAATCCTAATTTATCTCATATACTAACACACCAAATTTCGTTTTTTTTATCTGAATAAATAAAAAAGTTATAGAGGTGAGCCACTTTTGAGACGCACCCGGTATAGCCTAAAGGTTGGGTAAAAACTTAATACTGCAGACAATGACTGTCAACATCAGAAAATCACCTTGTCCGAATATAGTATAGATATAAAACTATTTCTAAGGCACTATCATACTACCTTAAAGAACAGCCGAAATTTTATAGAAAGATACAAAATCGTTAAGGCAACATGATGTACAGGATCAGCGAAATCCTTAAAATAGATCAATTTATTTGTGATGCTTACTAATTAATCTATTCGATTTAAGCCACTGTTTATTTTTACACTGAGTGGCATGCATATACCATAGTCCCACCTGCCGTACAAGCCGATAAAATATAAAACTCTGCCGACAGTCGGCAGGTTCATCAATCACAGGCGTAGATCCGACATGGCGATAGTCAATGTTCTTACACAAATATTTTCAGTTTATTAACATTTGAAACGCGGTCCGGCCTTGTTGTAAGACCACTTTACGGATTGGCGAACCGACTACAATTTGAAAAAAAAAGAAAAAGAGAAGTTACACAAATAAAGAACGAACAAGTAAAAAACTGAAAGAATTAAATATTCCTTTATGGAAATTAAACCTGGCCATTCCTTATCTGATGCATAGCTCTGTAAAATACCAAAATGAAGTTTCGTGATACTAGTCTGGATTAATTATTATTATTAAGGAATTTCGGTTATTATATTTCGAAAATGTTTTCGTAAAATATTCGTCGCTCCCCATTATGCTAATCTACTTAATGTAAATTCATTTATGTCAAAAAGTGTTATGTTTTATGCAATCAACAGCGTATAATAAAAAGGGTATGCTTAAAACTGAACTCGCTATTTTTAATGTGTTGCAGAAATGCAGTTTGATGTTTGATGATATAATTATGTTCTTCTTATTATTGTTGTTCTTTTTTTAAAAGCCAAAACTTTCGAAATCAATCAACGTTAACAATGAATAGTAAAAACCAAAGCCATCTAAATAAAGGGAGACAAAACAATTTACATTTTATCGCGATCACGAACCGTGTTCCGTAAAAATCGATGGTGACAGATTTACGCGATATGTGATAGAATACGGTTCGAGTTCCAAATGTTATTATTGTTATTAATATTTTTTGGGTACCTATAGAAACGTTAAACTAAATATTTGTATATGTATATAACTTTAATCAATATACATAAATTGTGCCAGGATTATACCTTCGAAATTATTTTTAGTTTTCTAATTAAATTATATTAGGGAAATTATAATGACAACTAGCAGCATCGCTGTGGATTGATCTTTAC